ACAGCAGACAGTAGCAGGGATATCAGAGTATAAGGGCTCTAGTGGGGGGAGGGAGGCTATGGGAGGGTGCTATCTGGGAAGTGGGTGTAAAAATATATAAATAAATTTTTTAAAATTATCTAAAAAATACAAATATGTTATACTACCCACCGGAAAAAAATAATAACAAGATAAAAAACAGAAGAACATCACATTCCTCTCCTGTCAGTGAGGGATATATTCCAAAACCATCAATGAGCATCTGAAGCCAGAGACAGTAAGTACTGAACTCTATATATACTATGATTTTCCCCCATACAAGCATACTTATGCAAAATTCCAATTCAAAAGTCAGGCAAAATATGAGATTAATAACTAAAATTAAAAAAGAACAACTATACTAAGATGAACTTGCTAGCATCACTACTGGGCCTTAGGACCATCAGTAAAATCAGGGTCATTTTAACACAGGATCTATAACACCATAACAGGTCCCTTGGTATCTGAGGTGGTCAAGTGACTAATACATGGGTAGTAGGTACCACAAAGCACTGAGGACAAAGGTGGGTCACTGAGCTCAATCCTAGACCTTTTTTCCACTCCATCTCCACTTTATAAGTGATCTCATCCACATTTGCTATCCTAACTTATTTTTTTTTCTATTTTTGAAACAGTAATAAAGTACATCTTCTTTTACTGACATAGAATATATTCTTAAATTTAAAAGATTGGCTTGTTAAAAACAAAATCTCCTGGTAAACATCATGTGTCCATTGCCCCAAAATGTATATACCTATTTGCCCCTAAATATTTATGAATAAATCTCAACTTTGGAGCTACCCTCACTGTATAAAATATGTGGAACTATTGTACACATAAAGTAAAAAAAAATGTAAAAAAAAAAAGGAAAAATAGAAAGCAACAATAAGTGTCCTTCTGTATATGATCTAGGGAGAACGTTAGGAAATTAAGTCAATATAAAATGTATTCAGAATTTCAGTTTTGGCAAATACTTTCCAGAAAAATATCTAAGTTACAAGGGTACTGAACTGTCATTTTAATAATCTAGTAGAAGTTTCCATTTAAACAATTAGTGAAGATGCTGTGGTCTTTTAATGCTCAGCAAAGAAGATTGGAGGGGGGCTCTGTTGTAAACTAAAAATTACTCATTTTTATCAGGTATTAACCCATAATTAGGCATGTGTAGTGCAGGGAATCAATCCCTATTCTACTAGTATCTAAGTGCTTTTGCTCAAACATCCCAAAGGCTAGGATATGACCATGAAACAGGGCAGGATTTTAAGATCACTGGAGGGATTCAACCCCAGAGGCGGCCAAATAGTGATGGTCAATGTTTTAAAAAAACACCAGTATTTCTGTAGCATTACTTCTGCTGCACTTTATTTCTCATCACAGGTCTACTTGGAGGATCACGCGGCGAGTGGCATATAAATAAAATAAGAGTCTGAATAGCGGTATCACATTAAGAGACAGAACTGCTGGATTCTCTTATTAGATATGAAGCACACATCTCAGGATTGCACGAGGTGGCATTATCTGTGAGATATGTTAGATGTACCTTGCTCCAATTAATAGTACCATGCTACTCACTACATAAAAGCCCAAAGTCAGACTATTGAAGATATTGGAGTCATCATTTTCATGAGACTGAGTCATAACCCAACCCATTGACTTCATTACAGCCTTTTTCCATGTAGAGTAGCGATTTTCACTTTCCTCAACATTGATCTGAGGTTCAAATCGCTCCAACTGCATAACTTCTAAGTCCTGGGGTTCCAGACTCCACACACTGACTCCTTCTGCGGCTCCAGCTGCCATGGCAGCTCCCAGTGCGGTTGTTTCTGGCATGGAGGGTTTTATCACTGGAATGCACAGAATGTCTGCTTGGAGCTGCATAAGAATTTTGTTGTTGGTCATTGCACCATCCACCTGCAAATGTTTGAGTGGAATTCCACAGTCACGGTTCATGGCATCTAAAATTTCTCGGGTTTGGAAGCAGACAGCTTCTAATGTAGCAAAAGCAATATGGAATTTATTGGTGAACTGAGTAAGTCCACAGATGATCCCTCTTGCACTGGGGTCCCAATAAGGTGCATATAATCCTGAAAATGCTGGAACAAAGTAACAGCCATAAGAAGAACCCACTTCTTTAGCCAATTTTTCGATATCTTCTGAATTATTAATGATTTGAAGATTGTCTTTTAGCCAGCGAACCATAGCACCAGCTATAGCTACTGAACCTTCCAGTGCGTAACAGACTGGTTCCTCTCTGCCAAGCTTGTAAGCCACTGTGGTCAGAAGGCCATGCTCAGAAGATACACACTTCTGTCCTGTGTTACATAATAAGAAACAGCCTGTTCCATACGTGTTTTTGGCTTGTCCATCCTGGAGGCACAGTTGTCCCACCAAAGCAGCAGACTGGTCCCCCAAACACCCAGATATTGGCACACCTTCCAAGGCCCCAGTTTTCATCAGGCCATAGATCTCAGAAGAACTCCGGATTCTGGGAAGGATGCTCATTGGAATTCCAAAAAATTTGCAGAGCTCTCCATCCCACTGCAAAGAATGGATGTTGAAAATCATGGTCCTGCTGGCGTTACTTACATCCGTACAGTGGACACCTCCGTTGACTCCCCCTGTCATATTCCAGATAAGCCATGAGTCAATAGTTCCAAAAAGAGCCCTGCCTTCTTCCACAGCCTTTTGAACTTTTCTCACATTGTCAAGGAGCCAGTGAAGTTTCACCGCACTAAAGTAAGTGCTAAGTGGAAGACCTGTCTTGGTCTTGATAAAGTTATTATGTACTGAAATACTTTTACTGAGATTCTCCACAGTAGACTGGGTTCTTAGATCAAGCCACACCACGGCATTGTAGAGAGGTTCTCCAGTTGACTTGTCCCAGACCACTGTAGTTTCCCTCTGGTTGGTGACACCAAGAGCTTTTATGTTGGAAACGTCAATACTGAGCTGTCCAAGTTTCTCACACGTTTTCTCTATACACTCATAGACAGACTGCAGGATCTCCTTGGGGTTTTGCTCTACCCATCCTTCTTTTGGGAACTCCTGTTTTATTTCTACTTGATGATGAGTAAGCACTTCAGCTGTTTTGGGATTGAAAACAAAGAAACGTGTTGAGCTTGTACCTTGGTCCACTGCCCCCACCAACGGCCCCCAAACCGCTTTCTTCGCGTCTGCCATGGATCCAGCTTTGATGGCGGGTTATCGCGTCTGGTTTCCCTGGAGATGGATGGGGGAGGGGCGGGCGCGAGACCAGAGGGCGAGTGGCACCGGGATGTATGGTGTTGAACCTGTGGCTTCCTGTTGTCTAAGTTCAATCCAGGCTCCCTCCTCGCCTCCAGACTGATATGCCCAAGCTTGGATGTAAAGCGGACATCTTAACCTTGTCTAAAGTTAACTTTAGATACTCTCTCAGCTCCCTTCTACGGTTTCAACTCAGTAAACCAACTTCCTTTCATTCTACCCAAGTTTCTTGTTCCAAAATCCTAGGAGATTTTTGTGCCTCTTCCCTTGACTCACCTCCAACACACCAGTAAATCCAGAAAACTCTCTGTCTAAATGACTACTACTTGCCATGTTCTCTGTCATCAACATCAACTTGGTTCAAGTCACTAGCGTCTTTAATGATCTGTACCAGTGTCCTCCTGACTTTCCATTCAGTCTTCTTTCTTTAAAAAGTCTGTGTTCGGGGGCTGGAGAATTGGCTCAGGAGTTAAGAGCACTGACTGCTCTTGCAGAGGACCCGCTTTCAATTCCCAGTACCCACATGGTGGCTAACAACCCTCTGTAACTCAAGTTCCAGAGGCAACAATGCCTTTCTTTGACCTCCCAGATGTTGTGGAACACAGGTGCACTTACATACACGCAGGCAATACACTCATGCACATAAAATAAAAATAATAAATAAAATATTAAAAATAAAAATAAAATGTCTGTATTCAAACAGAAAGTGGAATGATTTTCTTAAAATGAAATATGATCATGTCTCTTCTTTGCTCAAAATCCTCCAATTGCTTCCCATCTGTTTCCAAGAAAATTTAAAGTTTTCCAATGATGTGAGGTTCTAGGCAGTCAGGTTCCTGCCTCATCTTCTGCCTCATTTCCTTCTAGAAGCCCACCCCCTTTCGGGCATACTGGATCCACTGTCAGCACTCAGGCCTGTGCTTGTTCTCACCTTAGCACATTTGCAGTTGCTACTCAGTCCCCCGTGTCCCCCACCCTACTTCAGCCCCATGCCAAGTCTACAAAGGCCACCACTCTCTTTAAAGTCTGTGCTCAAACATCTCCTCCAAAGACATTTCTTTGCCCCCAGGGCCTAAAGTCTCAACATTCCTATCACCATTATTCTTTTACCTATTTTGTCTTTCTTCAAGGAAAATATTTATTTTTCCCCTTTAATTCCTTCAATGAGAGCCCCAAGGAGTTAGGGATTTTGTGTTTTCCATGTACTGTATTCTTAGTGCCCAGACAAACTCTGCAACATGATACTCAATGAATACTTGCTTTCTGTAAGTTTAAGATTAGCACTACTTATTTCTAAAGAGAATTATTTAGTGTACTCTTTCTCAAATATTTGATATCTTTCATGGTGAGGGAATCATATATGTTAGTGCAAGGAATTCAGGCACAGCTGTGTGACCCCTCAGTCAGAGTCTTGAAGAGCATGTTTACAATGTCTTCTCTGCCCCACTGCCACAGAAACCAATGGTATTCTGCACAGAGACCTGCTCTGTCAGCCTGGGCCCCAGAGAAAACACTGTGGAGCAAAGCCATAGTTCAGTATAGCATTTATAGTAAATTAGCATTGCTGTGCTAGACCACTGAGATTTGGGGACTGTTTCCACAGCTATAACCTAATTTGTCCTGATTGGTAGAGACACCCAGGCAACCATGAGCAAAGGTAGGACTTAACAATACCCATGACAATTTGACATATTATATCAATTTGCTTGAGCTGGCTTTTCCTAACAACCTGGTGCTCTGCTACTCTAACATTTTATTTGAACAAATTTAATTAAACTGTTTGTTTTAGCACAATCAGAGCCTGTTATCTCATTTTCTCATGTTTTCACAAAAAAGCATTATGAACAAAAGTATCTAAAGTATCTTATAGATTCAAAACTGCTTACCAAGCATGGCACAGATATCTTAAACTCAAACAAGAGATTTGTGAATAACATCAGTTCCTCAGGTTAACTGAATTTGGGTGAATCTCTGGGACCAGTACCTTCACAGTTGGATTATTTTTAAAGCCCCGCAACTGAGTCTGATGTAGATGATTCAAAACCCAGTACTCAGAGTAAAAGTCTCTTCATTTATGACCCTAGAAAACAGAACACTAGATGACAGAGTTGTGCTTTTATATATATATATATATATA